ATTTATTTATTTATTTATTTATTTATTTATTTATTTATTTATTTATTTGCATTTTTCAAATGCAGCGGTTAACTTTGGCTAAAAGCTACAAGTATTTTTCATTGAAGAGTAATAATTTACACTGTGTACAAAAAGAGAAGCTGATATTTCTAAATTCTTTGTATAAACAAACAAACAAACAAACAAACAAAACATGTCCAGTAAAGTTTTAGGTGCAATAATCCAGATGCAACATAAGCTTTTGCACTGGTACTAAAACCAGTATTTTTTTTTTTTTAATGTTTTAAACTTTTCTGGTGGTGTGATGTAGGATTGCTCAAGTCTTAACTAGTAAAGTTCTAGTGTGTTATAAAACAGACAAAGAATCAGCCTATGTTGCCCTGTTAATGCTCTATTTCTATAAATTATTCTTCAATGTTCCTCTTTTAAGTATTAAGAACAGATAAAGAGAATGTTCAACATTCATTGATTAAAAAATCTAAACGTGTAGCTACTTTTCTTATTCTGTTTATAACAAGAAGAAAGTAAAAGAAAGGAGCGTAAAGAGAAACTTTATATTCATCAGATAAATCAGCTACGATCCTCTGGTAAAMTATTGACCATTGTGTTAACATATTGTCCTTGATTACAATGATTACTAAACCCACTGTTGAGTATTTGTTATTTGAGAGTTTGGTTTTGCATCCCGTAGTTAAAGACCAATTTTTCAGTTTTTTATAGAGTTACTCTTTGGTGTGAAGTGAAACCTAATTGGTCAGTGTCAGTATGAACATGTGTGCTAAATCKACTCCCTGTTATTTACATAGATTTTAGTAGATTTAAGCTTTGTTGCTGTAAGAACTTTAATGTTTGCTTGTTTACTATCTTTTGCTCTTTTTTTCTACTTTGGGCAACTTAACCCAAGTCATTTTTAGCGTATGAGTCAACCAGGCATTACAGAGGAAAAACAACACAGTGTGACAATAGCACTCAGGACAGSAAGGCAGTTTGTGCTAATTTTTGTAGTCCGTAAGGGACTGCCCATTATTGGAGGTTATAAAACGTCTTCCCAGCAGTTTCACATAAAACCAAAAAAAAATGTTTTTAATTGTTTTTGGTACAAGTTTTACTGAGCGTGTTTAACGATTCTCAGCTCTCAGATCTTAACATAGTTCTTTTTTTTATTTTTTATTGACACCACCAACACTTAGTCAATAATTAACTCTCAGTCTCCTCTGTGTATAAACCTGGGCTTAAATAGCACTCTATTAATATTGACTTTGCTGTGTCAGGCAAACTTGGCGGCATGTGCTTAGAAACACTTCACTGCTTAGAAAGCCTGTTGATATTTTGATGAAAGAAAAAAATATTGTGAATGGAAGGAAAATTATAAAAAAAATGTATACAATTAAAGTTAGGCCATTATTAATCTGTTGCTTTTTTTTCAGTCCCAGCACATCAGTGACTGTAGACATGCATTTTTAACAGAAATGCTTTTCGGTTTTGATTATTGATAGAATTACCATGTGACTCAGTCATTTTGAGAACTTTCTGTCTTTCAAAGCTTTTATAGGCAGGCACAATGTTTTGTTGTTGTTGTTCAGGACATTTTTGTAGACTTCATAGGTTAAACATCAATCCAAACTGGTTTTACATCCGTCTGACTGTCACGTTTGTTGTGGCTTTGCTCTGGTTCATCCATGAGCATGGCTGACTTGTTGTTGATATTAAATCATTTTTTCATTATCATTTTGGACTATGCTACAGTAGGGTTGGGYATAATCGTATCGTATCGCAATTACTTGTCAGAAAAACATTAATCGATTATTCTTTGGCACTTGACAGTTAATACAATTAATGCCAGCAGGCAGAGTCCGCTCGGTGCTCCTCTCAGCTTCAAATATGACGAACATTTTTTAAAAAGTTCTGTAATTTATTTATCTATCAACACAATTTAAAATTTGATGTATAGCCTGAAGTCTGTAATTTTGACACAATTTGAAACAGATCTTTACGAAGAGCAAATYCTTCCCATTAAATTGGTCATGGGACTAGGACATAAGGGTGTCCAGGGACTCCAGGGGATTAATCGTCAAATTAATCGTTGCCAGCTAAATACCACAATTAATCGTGATTCTTTTTTTGCCAATATTGCCCAACCCTATGCTACAGGTTGTTTAACACACTCTTAGCTACTAGCTTGGTTTAATTAGAYGTCACTGTCTTTTTTCTGAGGTTCACAAGCTTAGGACCTATAAAGATATTTGAAACTCTATTCAGGGAGATTTATTGTCCCTCAGTGAAGATCATGCCCTGTTTTAGCCCAATWTATTTTTTCTTCACTCTTAGGACCAACATTTTAGGTTCAAAACCAACCTGGCGTGTCAGGCTAGCCTGSTTAAAACCAGCCCCTTGTCCTTCGCTTTGCTTCGTACGAGGGTCTGGACTCTCTGCTATAGAGAAACAATTCTTGCTGGAGGCGTGGCCTCTGTTGAAGGTGAAATGATTGGATCAGTTGGCGATGAATGTGTATGCCAGCTTCACCGTGAAGGAGGCTAAGCTAAGAAGCTAACCGGAAATTGCGTGCACTGTAAACAACCCTACTGAGAGGAGAGAAGTACCGAGCTGAACAAGACGGCTGTAAATGAGAACGATGTTGTTTTTCAAAACCCTGCCTTCTTGTTTCTGATTGGCTCAAACGAAATTTTGCTGAAGAAATCTTGTCTATGGGAGAAATCCCAGACGGAGCAGTGAAGGGAAACTAGAATTGAGTAGAACTGCGTAGGAAGGCAAGGGCCAGGCTAGTGTCAAGCAAGCTACRAACCATTTTTTTGTCAGTTTATCTCAGATTGTTTTTTTAAATACTCCGTCGTGTCAATTGTTTACCATGCATTAAGATTTTGGCCCTAAAAGTGTGTTGTTTACAGGTCTTTTTTTTTGGATAGCTATCAATATTAAGAGTTTACAGAACTTCAGAGTAGTGTAAATCTCCTGTAGATTGGACTTTTTTTTTTTTTTTTTGCAAAATTTATAGCTTTCAGTTTTTTTTTCACTTATTTGTTTTCATGGCCCAATGGTAATTTGGTCTGGAGTGAATGATTTCTCATGGGAATTACTTCTTTTAGGCTACATAATGCTGGCATGATGACTAATTGGAGAAAGACCTAGATAAAAGATAAAGTGGGCGG